GATAGTGAGGAGTGGAGGATGACACCTCAGTTTTGAGTGGAGGACTAGAAGGATGGTGTTCTACAGTAATAGGAAGGGGGAGGCTTAGGGGGAGAGATAGAATCAGTTTCTGACAAGTTGTGTTTAAGGTATCTATTTGACATCCAGTTCAAGATGTTCTGAAAGACAGTTGGAGATGCAGGATTGGAAGTCAGCTGAGAAGTCAGGCAAAATAGGTAGATTTGAGAATCATCAGCATAGAGATGGTAATTAAATCCATGGGGGTTTTGAGATTACCAAATGAAACAATAGAGAAAGAGAGAAGAGAAGAGGACCCAGGACAGAATCCTGAGGGTGATCTGGATGAGGATCTGGCAAAGAGACTGAGAAGCAGTGGTCAGATAGGTGGGAGGAGAACCAGGAGAGAGGGGTGTGCCAATAACCTAGAAAGAAGAAAGTATCACGGAGCGGGGGAGTGATCAACAGTGTCAAAAGCTGAAGAGAGGTCGAGGAGAATATGGATTGAGAAAAGGCCATTGGATTTGGTGAATTAAGAAGTCATTGGTAACCTGCAGTTTCAGTGGAATGATGAGGTTGGGAGCCAAAATATAGAAAGTTAAGAAGTGAATGAAAGGAGGGAAACTGGAGGTACCTATTATAGAAGGCCTTTTTGAGGCAAGCTTAGCCACAAAGGGTAGAAAAGATAGTTTATCAGGGATGAAAGGATCAAGTTAGGATTTTTTGAGGACGAGGGAGAAATGGGTAAATTTATAGGTAGTAGGGAAGGAGCCAGTAGAAAGGAAGAGATTGAAAACAAGTGATAGAGTGGGGATGATAAAAAGTTATCTGGTACAGGAGAGAGGATGGAATGGGATCACTTAAGCAGGTAGAGGGGTTAGCCTTGGTAAGAAGTAAGGACACCTCTTAATTTTACTTTGTGAATATTATGTGAAAAATATGCATCCTGAGAAATAAAAATCATATATGCTGTCTGTCATCAATGGGACAGCTAGGTGGTGCAATGGATAGATTTCTCTTCAAATCTAGCTTCAGACACTTACTAGGTTTGACACCCTGGACAAGTCATTTCACCCTGTTTGCCTCAGTTTCCTCATCTGTAAAATGAGCTAGAGAAGGAAATGGCAAACCACGCCAGTATCTTTGCCAAGAAAACCCCGAATGGGGTCACAGAGAGTCAGACATGACTGAAAAATGACTGAACAACAAAAATCTATCATCAAAAACCTAGTATTTGAATTGTTAGGAAACTCTTGAAGTGTTATGCAAATTCCTGAGGGGCTGTCATGTGAAAGATCAGACTTGTTGTCCTTGGCCTCAGAGATCAGGCCCAGGGTCAGTGGGTATTTCTTTTGATGAAGGTATGTCCTTCCAGAGCCACTTTGTAACGATTGCACATTTGTCTCATTGCATTCAGATCTGTTGTTTGGCTTGCTTTTTATTTACGTGCAGACATCTGAGGCCATGGTTTTTCTCTTGCTGGTGATTTTATTGGATTTTGTCTTCTGAATTGCTAGGCATCTCTATTGCTATTCTTCCCACATTGCAGCTACCCTTTATGGTATCTAGTTTGGTGTAGATCTGGAGGCAGTTTTCTCCATCCCCCTTCCTTTTCAATTTAAAATTCTTCTAATTAGATTTGCAAGACTCTCAACAAGTAGAATCTTACCATCCCTAATATCTCCCTGGCCAGGAGCCCATTACCGCTATATTTTAAGTTGTGATTCAGAAATCCAAATCCTGTTCTCAGATACCATCTTCTTAGCCAGCTGTTCATTTGGTTGAGAGATCACTCCTACCCTACCCTTCCATGTGGTGGGTTTTTTTTAATCTCTTATCTCAAACCATCTCTAAAAACTCAAGACTTCCCTATAACAACCTTAGTTATATTTCATTGCAGTCAACCTGATCACTTCTAGAAGTTAACCCAGAAGCAAGTAACCACTTTATGTCATGAGGAACTTTCATTTAAAGAGGTGCTTTGATTGGAACCTTGATTCTACAGGCCAGAAAACCACACGCAGATGAAGGTACATAAATCCAAACGACTGTTGGCCCTTAAAGAAGTCCCCTTGGGATGTTGAATGTACACTTAGTTCAGTGATGCTCCCATTGCTCAAAACCTTTTTGAAAATCTTCTTTGGAAATAACCCCGAGCCTGGATAGGAAACCATAAAGGAACCAAGTGGCTTGACAGTTACTCCTTGAATGTTAAGCTTGAGCAGAGTATTTATACTTTTCTTAAATATGAGCATTCCTGTGCTCTTGAAGAATGAGTGCAGGGCTGGCAGGGTCAAAGAGATGAAGGAAGCATTTTAGAAGTGTCTTAAAATTCCCAGAATTAGGTTTCCTAGTCTGAGAGCTTAGCATTTTCATTTGCCCTAAGTGATCACAGGTAGAGCAACGATATATGGGACATTTGGACTTGGGAAATATTCATCAAATCAAATCAAAACCTTGAATTAAATTCTAAAACCAGATGTACTACTCCAAATGGTAATTCAGAGTATGTGTTCCTTAAGCTGGGCCATTTGTTACTCAGTTTTGGCTGTTTATGCTCAGAGTATAAAATATGGGTAAAAACATTTCCCTTTTGTTAATAATGTTAGTAATTGTGTTTCCCAGTAGTTAATTCAGTTACACAGATAGTCTTTTAATTTTGTCAGCTCTCGTGTTCTAGGTGTGTTGTGAACCACATTAATTTTGTTTTTATGGTATGGTTTGATACAGAGGTATTATCCTCACTAAAAGCCTGCTTAACCAGATAAAAGTATCATTGGGAAAGGTTTAACAAAGTAAATAAAAATGCGATAACAGGGGCAGCTAGGTGGCACAGTGGATAGAGCACCAGCCCTGAAGTCAGGAGGACCTCAGTTCAAATCCGCCCTCAAACCAAACACTTGACACTTACTAGCTGTGTGACCCTGGGCAAGTCACTTAACCCCAGTTGCCTTAAAAAAAATGTAATAACAATACAGATAATATTAATTTTGGGTTTTCTAAATCTATGTCTCTCACAGGGATCTATTTCTCTTTGAATTTGACACCAATGGTTTGGTATACTTCCTTATTAGTATATAGTACTCTTTTGCATCTGGAATTAAACCAGTTGAAATTTCTATTTTGTTTACTATTCACAAGGTTCTGCTCATGTCAAGGCTAGAAATGTCCCTCTAAATAATACAATTTGTCATTGAAACTGCATTGTCAAGCCTAGGAAGTTCCTAACAACTCTAGTATCTAGTATCTACGGATGATGTACAAATTGATTGTTGTATGTAAATTGTGAGCACCTCAACAAGGAACAAAGAATATGAAGAAATATGAGGAAAAAATTGTAGGCAGAGATGTAAAGTGAAGCAAGTATATCCTAATCTATGCACCGACTACAGGTAAGTAAAGGAAGGCAAGCTGGGATGGGGCCCCTCCTGCTTAGATTCAACACAGCAGACTGAAGCAGTGCTGCCTGTGGTTTTGTTTTTGTTTTTGTTTTTTTGTTTTAGGTAATTGGGGTTAAGTGACTTCCCAAGGTCACACAGCTAGTTTGTGTCAAGTGTTTGGTCTGAGGCCAGATTTGTACTCAGGTCCTCCTGACTTCAGGCCGGGTGCTCTATCTACTGCTCCACCTTGCTGCCCCACCTCCTGTGTTTTTAACAAAGGATCACTTGCACACAAAAATAGGGATGGTGTTAGGAACTGGACCTGGGATTTCACTGGTAGATAGAACTCCTAGGTAAAGGAACTTCTCTTCTAATGCTGGGCAGCACCTTCTCTGCCCCTAAGAGTTTTAGAGAATTGGCTGAAACACTGAGGAATTGGTGCCAGGACTTCCCCAGGGTCACACAGCCAGGATGTGTCAGAGATATATGGGAAGCCCACCCAGCTTTCTGGCATCAAGGAAGTCTGACCAGGGCAGAGTATGGCATGGAGGAATACACATTGCAGATACTAAGTATGCTGGTTTGTCTGTATCTATCAACTGCATTAAAACAAAATGTATTAGTTTACAAAATGCAAGGGAGAAAAGAAGCATTCATTGTATTTTTTTTCCCCCAATTCTGCTTGAGATAGTAGTTGGGGGTGAGAAGACTACTCTTCCCTGGAGGAGAAGAGGAAGAACAGACACAAGAGCTTTTGTATTTTGACCAAGGCTCTGTTTGCTTCCCAAAAGGTATTACTGACTGCTGACTGTTTCTTCCTCTGACTGTTCTTAGTCTTTTCATTCTATTCACCGGTGAAGAGGAAGAGCTAGGAAGTAGAGACCTGAGCAGAAGCCTTATAATACTGACACATTTATATAGCCCTGTAAGCTTTACAGATTGCTTTCTTCACATCAACTCAACGAGTAAATTAATGCAAACTTTAGCTCCATTTTACAGAGTAGGAAGCTTGAAGCTTAGAAAGGTGAACAGATTTGTCCCAAGTCACACAAATAAACAGCAAATGTCAGACCTAGGATTTGAACCCAAAACGCCTGACTTATGCCCAGAGGTCAATACCACTACCATTTGGTGACACTGGAGGATATAGTTCGTTTTTTTTCCAAGATGAAATTAAACCCCTTTTAGCAATTTCATTGGCAACCTTTGCGTTTAAAAATCATAGGAAATGTCCTAGCCTCCAAGTGAATCTGATTCTGCAGGATTTTTTTGTGCTTGGGGGAAATCACCAGTATGATTATACATATAGGTCCAGGACTTAGTAAGACCTCTTTTTAGAATTAACGTATTGTATGATTTTTTTTTCCTTTTTCTTTTTGTTATTGTTTTTGTTGTGAAAAATTTAGATCACAAGTAATTAAAGTCAGGATGACTAAATGACTAGTCTCCACAGCCCTGGGTAGAGAATGTTTTTATGCTTCAAGGAACCTAAGTTTTCTCTCTCACAATGCCAATCATGCTTTGCCAAAGAAAATTCTTTTCAATTGTTTCTCTCTCTCTCTCTCTCTCTCTCTCTCTCTCTCTCTCTCTCTCTCTCGCTCACTCTTTTTTTTTTTTTTTAAGTAAATTCCTCATCTATGCTTGCCTGCTGCTGTTTTCCGTGCTGCTGGCCCTTCGGCTAGATGGCATTATTCAGTGGAGTTACTGGGCTGTCTTTGCTCCAATATGGCTGTGGAAATTAATGGTCATCGTTGGCGCCTCAGTTGGAACTGGAGTCTGGGCACGTAACCCCCAGTATCGGTAAGATTGCTTTATCAGAGAGAATGTGTGATTAGATTCTGATAAGTTTAGCAGAGATAACTGCATGTCATAGATATGTGAATGATTTTAAAATTTAGTGAGAAACCCTGTTTTGTATATGTAAATATAATGGTTGTTGGCAAGGTTGTGCTATAAAAGTATATCATAATTTTATGTGAGTTCTTTTTTCTTCACATGAGGTACTGAGCTGCATTTTTAAAAAATATATTTTTGATACAGAGCATGTGACTTGTAGAGGGGAAAAAATGGGATAGTCATCTGAGCATAAACCTGGAGTGTTTTTTTTTTCTATTTTTTTGAATCATAGAGTAATAGAATGTTGCGGCTGAAATGGATCTTAGACATCTTCTAGTTAAATCCTCCCATCTTGCAGGTGAGAAAACTGAGGCCTAGAGGGATGAAATGGCTGAACCGGGGCTAGAACCCAGGCTCTTGCCTCTCAGTCCAGTGTTGTTCCACTACACTGAACTGCCTCTGTGTTTTCTTGTTTATTTTTTTGATTAAAGTGAGAATAATTAATTCTACTTGCTATTTGACTTCTCTAAGGTTTTAGAAAAAAAAATACTTTCTAAGCAGTTCTCAGTTCAAGAGTGGGCAGCATTTGTGAGTTATCCAGCTATTCCTTCTCTCCACCCCTTCTCTGGTACTTGCTCAGCTTTTCTAGAGAGAGTAGAGGCTTTTAAATTGTATTAGAATAGACTGTCATTTCCAGAGTTTCTTATTTACTGATAAACTCACTGTGGCACAGTGGAAAGAATGCTTGATTTAAAGTCAGAGAACTGGGTTCGAATCTCAACTCTGCCAACAGCTGCTGCCACCTGTGTGACTCTGAGCAAGTCACTTAACCTCTCCAGGCCTCAGTTTCTCCCTCTAGCACTTGTGGTAGTTGGGCTTTTAAGGTCCTTCCAGCTCTAAAACTCTGCTCCTAAGATATATAAAAGGGTATGAGGCTGTGGTAATAAACCTGGAAAAGAAAGTTACACTTGAATTTCAAGTTGTATGCAAACATACCAATGGCAGCATTTAGACTTGGTATAGTAATGTCATCTTTCATCTTCTGAGGTTCACTGGACAGAGAAGCATCTGCTGATGTTTTACTTATGAGTCTTCTTACATTCTTCATTGGCAGAGGGAGTTCCTCACCATGAAATCCCCATACCAATGCAATCACAGCCCCAGACCCCAAAAAATTCAAAATAAAATAAATCACGTTACAAGGTGGGACAGTTTAGTTTGGTTCTCTCAGCTGTCATTTGATTCCATGTGGGGTGGGTCCTTTACATTTTTAAGATTCTATTTAAGAAACTAAGTTTCGTTAAATCTTTCTTACTTTTCTTTACATGAATATATGAGTACTGTTTTGCACATAAGGCTGTAAAAGTTTTCTAAATTGCTTAGAACACTTATTTCTAACAGAAATTTGAACTGAGATATTTGGTGTTTTCTTTTTTCTTTTCCTCATGACCATTTTTAGAGCAGAAGGAGAAACCTGTGTGGAGTTTAAAGCCATGTTAATTGCTGTGGGCATCCACCTGCTCCTGTTGATGTTTGAGGTTCTGGTCTGTGACAGGATTGAGAGGGGAAGCCACTTTTGGCTTCTGGTCTTCATGCCGCTGTTCTTTGTCTCCCCAGTATCTGTTGCAGCCTGTGTGTGGGGATTCCGACATGACAGGTCACTTGAGGTAAAATTTCATAAACTAAAAGTGAATGTTTTACAGCAAAACCTTTGGTTACTTCTTTTATCATGAATTTCCCTCTACTCATTTTAATGTAGTTGAGTGTGTGTGTGTGTGTGTGTGTGTGTGTTGTGTGTGTGTGTGTAGGAACACAAGAAGGTAGCAATAATAGTATCCTTTTCTTACATTTAAAAAAGTGTACAAGGGGCAGCTAGGTGGTGCAGTGGGTAGAGCAGTGGCCCTGCAGTCAAGAGCACCTGAATTCAAATCCAACCTCAGACATATAATACGTCCTAGCTGTGTGACTGTGGGCAAGTCACTTAACCTCAGTTGCTTCTCTTTAAAAAAAAAAAGTGTACACAAATGAAGTAGTCCATCACAAAATTATACTGATTTTTATATCTAAAGTTGTTTATTTGACCTTTACCTCTAGCATTTTAAAATATTATATATTCATCAAATTGGCTAAGTTTCTATTAGTCCCTTTGAACTTCCTTCTTGACTATGTAAAGAGTAATTTTTTTTTTTTTTGGCTAGGCAATGGGGATAAGTAAGTGATTTGCCCAGGGTCACACAGCTAGTTAAGTGTCAAGTGTCTGAGGCTGCATTTGAACTTGGGTCCTCCTGACTCCAGGGCTGGTGCTTTATCCACTGCGCCACCTAGCTGCCCCAAGAGTAAATGTCAATAGGCACTGTTTGAAAGTGGTGGAGAAAAACTTTGGGAATGAGAATCTAACCCCTACTATAATAGGAAGCCCTACTACAATGTACCTGACAAAGGGCTTATTTAGCCTCTGCTTGAAGGCCTCTGATGAGGGGAAATCCACTATCTTCTGATGACTGTCTAAGGCTGTCTGTTCCATTTTTAGATAATTCTAATTGTTGGAAATTTTTTTCCTTATATCAAACCTGAATTTTTCTCTTTCCACTATTTACACATTGATCCTACCTCTGAGGCCAAGCAAGTATACCTCTTGTATGTAACAGTCCTTCAACTGCTTGAAATTAGCTCTCGTGCCATGGCCTACCCCCACCAATCTCCTTTTCTTTAAGCTAAACTTCCTCGTTCCCTTCATCCAGTCCTCTGATGGCATGTTCTAAAGGCTTTTCGCTATCCTGCTTCCTTCTCTCGATGCTCTAAGGTTATATCAGTGTCTTTTCCTAAAACGTGGAGCTCAGAATTGAACAAAGTACTCTAGATATGGTCTGACCAGGGCAAAAGTATAACACAAATTTTACCTCCACACTTCTCACAACCATGCCTTTCTTAATGTCTGCTAAGATTATGTGAGCTTTTTTTTTGTCGGTCATACCACATGTCAACTCCTTGAGCTTTTAGACTGTAATTCTTCCTCCTCTTTTTTCAAAGGTAGAGAGAAACCTTTTCACAACTCTTCCTATTTTGTACTAGTAAGATTGTCGGGTTATTTTTTTTAACCTAAGTATAACGCTTTCCATTTGTCTCTAATAAATGTCAACTTATGAGATTTAGCCAAAATAGTTTAAGCCTGCTCAGATCTTTTTGGATCCTGATGTCGTCATCCAGTGTGTTAATTATCCCATCTAACTTTGTGTTGGGTGGCATACCTTTTGAATTTGCAGATAAGTCTTTGTCCAAGTCGTTGATAAAAATGAGAAATAGCACCGGGGCCAAGCGCAGATCCCCTGGGCCAAGTTGACAGTGAACCATTAATGAGGATTCTTGCCACCTGGCTATTCACCAAGTTCCAGAGCCAGCAAACTATACTATCTTCTAGCCCATGTTTCTTCATCTTGTTCATGAGAAAAGCATAGGAGTCTTTGTCAAACACTTTGCTTATGTCTAAGTAAACTATAACTTCCTCATTCCCTGATCATCCACTGGTCCAGTAAAGCTGTCAGAGGAGCAAATTATGTTATTCTAGAATGACCTGTTCTTATTGAAGCCCTTCTGGCTCTTTGTGATCGCTGTTTCCTTTTTGAGATGTTACCTAACCATTCTTTTGAATAATGTGTTTTAGAATTTTGTCAAAACTTGAGGTCAAACTCATTGGACGATAGTTTGCAGACTTCAAAATGAAATTTTGGTATTGTCTTTGAAAAACTAAATGTACATACAAATGCTAGTGGTGTTGCACATTGAACATTTATTTCCAACTTCTGAGTTAGAGGAAAACCTTTTCAGAGCCACCGTCTGGGCAGCCCTGCCTACTAGGAGGAAGACATGGCGAAACCTGCTTGTCTTTTACTTGTGTGTTTGCTTTATTCGTGCCTATCATTGTAGTATTTGGAATATTAGGATAGAACTTTGATAAAGAAAATGCCACTGTGTTATGAAAAAGGGGCTTGCTAGCCAGACATGGAGGTGAGACTAGCTGCTTGTACAGTTCCTTTATCACCATTTTGTCGTGTTTTGTGTTCTGCTAGTTGATTCTACCATCAACTGTTCTACCATTGGCAGGAGTTCTCACCAGACTAGAGAAGCACATGCCAAGGCCTCTTTTACTTAGAATGGCAGCATTCATTTCCTTCATGGTACAGCCTGGACCAGGGATAGGGAACCTGGCCTGGATTAATCACCTCCCTCCAAAAACAAGCAAACCAACTACATATGAACTCTTTTTCCTGGTGTGTAAGCCGAACAAGATATGAGAGACAAAACACTGTACCATTAGCAATGCAAAGTTTATACTTCCATTTCTCTGTGCAGGAAAAGTCTTTTTTTTTTTTAGTTAAGTCCTAAAAGATTTAGAGGCAAAAGCCTTCAGTTAAACTTGCTGCGTTCTAACTAGAATGTCTCACAACCATCCTGATTTGGTCCATTACCAGTTCATGTTATCCATCCTCCTCATTGCAGCAAGGTAGCCCTTTTCATTCCTACATAACTGATTCTCTGTCTCACTCCCAACAGGAGCTATTCCAAAGGTATTCTCCTCCCTCCTCAAGCCCCTCACCACTCGCTATCTCAGCCGAGGCCCTTGCTTCTTAATTTACTGAGAAAAAGAAAGCCAATCCACATCAGCTCCCTCTTCTCCCATTCTCTTCATCTCAAAATCCTTTGATGTCATCTCCCACTGTCTCTTTTTCTCCAGTCCCTAGCAAAGGCCAACCTTCCCAAGGCCAGCCCACCTCTCCATGGGCACTTGATCTCATCCCCTCCCATCTTCTCCCACAGGTTGCATCCTCACTCATCCCCTCCCTCTCCAGTCTTCAACCTCTGCTTATCAGTGGGTTCCTTCCTTACTGCCTTCAAACATGCACAAGTCTACCACATCCTTAAAATTCCCCCCCTTGATCATACCATCCCCTCAAAACTATCATCCCATATCCCTCCTCCCTTTCTGAGCCAAAGTCCTTGAAAAGAAATCATCTACATTTGCTACCTCCACTTCCTGTCTTCCCACTCACTCACTCCTCATCCTTTTCAGATCTGACTGCCAACCTCATGACACACCTGAAACAGCTCTCTCCAAAGTTACCATTGATCTCTTAAATAGCGATATGATGATTTTTTTCTCAGTCCTCATCCTTCTCCATCTATCTACTGACCACCCTCTCCTTCTGAATACTCTCTCTTCTCTGGGTTTTCGTGATGTGACTCTCTCTGGTTTTCCCCCCATCTGACTGCTCCTCCTGAAGGTTCTTTGCTGGCTCATCATCCATATCATGCCATTCATGGCATGGGGTGGGGGTGTTCCCCAGACTTCTGCCCTGGACCCTCTTCTCTCTTCCCTTTCCCTCAGTAACCTCATCGTTGCCATTGGTTTAACTGTCACGTGGACAACTCCCAGATCTGTATATCTAGCCACTGTCTCTCTCCTGACCTTCAGTCCCACCTTGCCAATTGCCTTTTGGGCATTTCAAACTGGATGTCCTAGGGTTATCTTAACTTCCACACATCTAAAACTGAACTCATCATCTTTCCCCCTAAGCCCTCCCCTCTTCCCAAGGGAAAGGGACCACAGTCCTTCCAGTGTCCAAGTTCCTAGAGTTACTGTCGTCCTGGAGTCTTCACTCTCCCACGTGTCCGGTCGACTTTCAAAAATCTTTCTCAGCATCTCTGAGAGGCAACGCCTTCTCTCCGTTCACATAGACTTAATGCAGACCCTCATCACCCCTCATCTGGACCACCGCATTGGCCTCCTTATTGGTCTCCTTGCCTCAGCTCTCTCTCTCTACTGCAGTCCATCCTGCACACTGCTGCCAAAGTCATTTTCCCTAAGCACAGATCTGACCATGTGATTCTCCCCTACTCAGTCACCTTCAATGGCTTCCTGCAGCCTCATTTGACATTATATTTCCCCTTCCATCCAGCCAAAGTGGTCATCTCTCAGTTTCCCCCACACGATATACTACCTGCTAACATTGTGCCTTTGCACTGAATGTCCCTCGTGCCTAGAATGCGGTGCCTTTCTGCACGTCATAGAGTTCCTCTCCCTTTATGACAAAACTCGGGCATCATCCACATGGAGGCTTTCCTGATCTCATGCCCTCCCTCCAAAACTCCCTTGTATTTAACTACTTCATATATATTTGTATTTATTCACTTTATATTTGTGCTTTCTATGCTTATATATGTATTTGCTATATCCCTCTTTAAAATGTAAGTCCGTTGCAAATAGGGATTGTTTGATCTTTTGTAGATGTGTCTCAAGTGCCTAGCACAGAGCCTGGTACATAGTAGGCACTTAATGCTAATTGATAATTAATGCTAATTAATATTGATTGGTTGAGAATGGATAGGCTAGAAAAAAAGAAAAACATGGAAGACAGTTGAGATATTAAGTATCTGTTTTTGATTGACTATTTTGTCTTCATAATAATTTAGCTTAGACTCTATATAGTCTGTTAAGAAGATTGGCTAAATTTATCTTTTTAAGAAAGTGCTCTCAAAAATACTGCCAAGTATTTGTATAAGATATACAATGTCATGATGCCACTTACATTGATTGCAATTTTTTTTGCTGTTCATAGATGCTGTATGCTTTTGGCTCTTTGGGGGTTAGGGATAAGGAGGGGTCTGGACCTGAGATTTCATGGTGATGGGGAAGTGGGGGAGGAGTGAATCTTGATGTGGAAATTCCTTCCACCCATGCAGATTGATTGGTAGCTCTTCTGTTACTTAGTCAGAAGTAGAGACCCACAGTTTAAGAAGCACTGAAGGGGTTGTGAGGGGAAAAACTTTAAGAAGCCCTGGCCTAGGGCACTAAGGGGTCACATAGTATAATTCAGAGATAGGACTTGGATGTAGGGCTTCCTGGCCTGAAGGCTAGCCCTCTAGCCATTATACCATCCTGCCTCTCTTTCATTATGTTAACATTTTCAAAATGCAAACTATACTGGAAGCTCCTCAGTTCTCAATTGCCAAATGGCTGACTTGAAAAGCCTAAATAAACAAATCTTTCACTAGACCTGTAATCCCCATCAACTTGGGTACTCCTTCTGTGATAGACAGCACAGCCCGTCCATGCCTTCTCATCTTTTTTCATTTCTTGTGCGTATCACCCTTTAAATTGCAGATTTACAGATCGAAGATGTGCACACTGTGCTGAAAGCCTTTCTTCAGATCTCTGAACATCAGACATGTAGCTCTTGAGTTACGTGTATTTTACACATTATACTTTGTCATGTGAAACATCTACCTCCTTCTCTAATTCTGCATGTTCTTGAAGGTAGCTGCCATACCACTTTCACTAAGAAAAATACAATTAGAGCAAAATTTGAAAAATCTACTGTTATGAGCACTGCCCCCCCCCCTTATCCTGGGACCTACACATAGACTCATGCTCATACATGTGCATCTTTGTCCTATAGCCTCATCACATGTGCAGTCATGAAATTTCTGGAGCCAGGTTTTATTCATTGTAGTATCATGTCCAAGGAGACCTAGAAGAGAAGATTGATAGGCATCATGACTTGGATTTTCCAGACAGAGTATCTTCATGGCCTAGGTCCTGGGATCGCCTTCAGCCTATTTTATCTCAGAGAACATTGGTGTCTGCCCACCTATCTACTGAAATTACATTCTCTCAATTTATTCCTTTCCTTCAACTAAATTAAATGACATGGTGTATTCATGCAGTCTGTAGCGCCTGGCCCAGGGAATAAAAGGCTGAAGAACTGATTCCAAGAAATGGAGGGAATTTGCAGGATAGAATTGTGTGTCAGATGGAGTTGTTGCAGCACACCACCTCTCTGCTGCCTGCTTTGATTTCAACCTGGGCAGTGAGGAGAATGCCAGTGTCTGAGTGACTGAGTGATGAAGCAAACGAGCGAGTGTCGATTAGCCCCATCTTGTTGCTGTCTATCCTTGCTCTCCATTAACACTGATAATCAGGACTTAACTGTGGGGCTGAATTTTTGAACTCCTTTAGGTAAAATGTCATTACAGTTTGCATTATTGACTAGGTAGTATGCTAATTTAGAAATAGCAATATTTTCCAGCTTTGTTGTGAAATAACATTTTTCTTCTTCATTCTTAGTTAGAGATCCTGTGCTCCGTCAACATTCTTCAGTTTATATTCATTGCCTTAAGACTGGACAAGATCATCCATTGGCCCTGGCTAGTATGTACCTTGTCTCTTTCTGGTAACTGCTTTTTAAACTCTTGCCTCAATTAATAGGTGTAAAGTTTATTTGTAATTCCCTATTCACTTAGTCAAAAGGAAGGAAGGAAGGAAGGGAAAATGAGTCACAACTATCCTGAGTAAAGGTGAGCTTCATAGGCTTCGTTTAAATTCTTTGGTGTTGATTCCCTCATTGGAATCCATTCTCGAGCGCTGGTTTCTATCTGGTGCCCACTTCTAGGTGCTCTTTGTGTAAAAGCAACATTAGGGTTAGGGGCGTGTTGGGTCATGAGTGATGCAGAAAATATGACAACATAGAATTTCTAGTCTTAGACACCAACAAGAAAAAGTGATTGGTGATTCAGAATTAATTGTGTGAAGGTCAGGTTTCCAATTTATTCCTTATTCTGTGATCATAGACTTATTATAGCTAAAAGAGACCTTAGAGGTCGTCTAATCCAACCTTTTCATTTTACAGATGAAGAAACTGAGACCCAGAGAGGGGAAGGGACTTCTAGTAAGAGGCAGAGCCCTAAAATACAATTCAGTTATGAGTGGGTGGGTAGATTTTCAAGCCCTGATCATGTGTATGCCTGGCCTTGGAGTCAGAGGAGAGATCAAATCTTGATCCTGATCATTTTATCTTCCTTCTACTCTGTGTGTATCTTACATATGTCTGTTAATGTACATGTTGTCTCACTCATTAATATGTAAACTCCTTGAGGGTAGGGACCATGAAAAACATGGTTTTCTTTGTGTCCCCAGTGCTGAACACTAAGTAAGTGTGTAAAAATTGTGTTGATTGATTGATTACTACCTATGTGATCTTGGGCAAGTCACTTAAGCTCCCTGGGTCTCAGTTCCCTCATCTCTAAAATGAGTAGGGGCAGAGTGAACAAGATGGCTTCTGAAGTCTCTTCCAGTTCCATATCTGTGATCCTAGGGAAGAGCAAGCAGTAGGGGGAAATATTAATCATATCTATTAAAAATCCACACAAGAATCAATAAGGGCATCTATAAACAAAGTACCTAGAGAAGGCAGTGCCAAAACTGTGCACCAAAATTAACTCTTGAGAGTAGAGGACAAGTCATTGAGGGCAAATGCTAGTCCCATACTGGACCCCTGCTGTGGCACTCGCTCTTCATGCCGGGGGCTGGGCTAAGCATTTGTTAACAAGGTACTTTTAGCACAGTCTAAAGACTGTGCTACTGTAGACTGCATACTACTGTAGACATTATAAAATATTTAGGAGTCTACCTCCCGAAACAGACCCGGGAACTATATGAACACAATTACAAAACACTTTTCACACAAATAAAGTCAGATCTAAATAATTGGAAAAACATCAATAACAAGATTCATTTGGAAGAACAAAAGGTCCAGAATACCAAAGGAACTAGTGAAAAGAAATGCAGGGGAGGAAGGTGGCCTAGCCATTCCAGATCTTAAGTTGTATTATAAAGCAGCAATCATCAGAACTGCTTGGTACTGGCTAAGAAATAGAGTGGTGGATCAGTGGAACAGGTTAAGTATTCAAGACACAGTAGTCAGTGACTACAGTAATCTATTATTTGATAAACCCAAAGACCCCAGCTTCTGGGATAAGAACCAACTCTTTGAAAAAAACTGCTGGGAAAACTGGAAAAGAGTATGGCAGAAACTAGGCATAGACCAAAATCTCACACCATATACCAAAATAAAGTCAAAATGGGTTCATGATTTAGATATAAAGGCTGATACTATAAGCAAACTGGGAGGGCAAGGAATAGTTTACCTATCAGATCTATGGAGAACAGAAGAATTGATGACCAAACAGGAGACAGAGAACATTATGAGAAGCAAAATGGATAACTTTGATTACATTAAATTGAAAGTTTTTGCACAAACAAAGCCAATGCAACTAAGGTTAGAAGGAAGGTAGAAAATTGGGAAAGAATTTTTACGACCAGTCTCTCTGATAAGGGCCTCATTTCTAAGCTATATAGAGAATTACATTAACTTTATAAGAATACGAGTCATTCCCCATTTGATAAATGGTCAAAGGATATGAACAGGCAGTTCTCAGCTCAAGAAATTAAAGCCATCTATAGTTATATGAAAAAATGCTCTAAATCACTATTGATTAGAGAAACGCAAATCAAGACAACTCTGAGGTACCACATCACACCTATCAGATTCGCCAACGTGACAAAACAGGAAAATGATAAATGTTGAAGAAGATGTGGAAAATTGGAACACTAATGCATTGTTGGTAGAGTTGTGAAATGATCCAACCGTTTTGGAGGAGCAATTTGGAACTATGCCCAAAGGGCTATAAAAATATACATACCCTTTGACCCAGCAATAGCACTCCTAGGGCTGTATATCAAAGAGATCATAAAAATGGGAAAAGGACCCACATGTACAAAAATATTCATAGCAGCTCTTTTTGTGGTGGCAAAGAATTGGACATTGAGGGGATGCCCATCCATTGGGGAGTGGCTGAGCAAGTTGTGGTATATGATTGTGATGGAATACTATTGTGCTATAAGAAATGATGAGGATGCTGACTTCAGAAGAACCTGGAAAGACTTGTATGGTCTGATGCTGAGTGAAGTGAGCAGAACCAAGAGAATGTTGTACACAATAACAGCCACGTTGTGCGATGACTATTATTGATAGACTTAACCCTTCCCAGGAATACAAGGATCTAAGATATCTCCAAAGGCCTCGTGATAGAAAATGCTATCCCACATCCAAAGAAAGAACTATGGAATTTGAATGCAGATCGAAGCATACTATTTGCTATTTTTTTTTCTCTTCTGTTGAGTTTTGTTTCCTCTTTCTGGTGGTTCCTCCTATGGGCTCTAATTCTTACTTACAACATCACTAATCTGAAAATATGTTTAATAAGAATGCATCTATATAGCCTATATCAGATTGTGTGCCGTCTTGGGGGAGGGTGGTGGGGAGGAAGGGGGAGAAAAATTTTAAACTCAAAAGCATATGGCAGTGATTGTTGATAAATCAAAATTAACTAATTTTTTTTTAAATCCACACAAGAATCAATAAGGGCATCGATAAACAGAATAGCTAGAGAAGGCAGTGCCAAAACTATGTGACAAAATTAACTCTCAAGAGTAGAGGACAAGTCATTGAGGGCAAATGCTAGTCCCATACTGGACCCCTGCTGTGGCACTCTCTCTTCATGCCAGGGGCTGGGCTAAGCATTTGTTAACAAGGTACTTTTAGCACAGTCTAAAGACAGACTCACCTCATCCTGAATTCATCATAAGGGGGAATATGTCCGTTTCAATGTCCTCTCAGAAAGTTTGTTTAATACAGAAGGGTTTTTAACAGTTTCTTGTACTATAGACGCAATAATGTTTTTCGATGTGTGAAGTAAAATACACTTAGGATTATAAAAGTACCAATTTTTTAAAGTTCCCAGACCCCAGGTTAAAAACCCACGCAATAGTCAGAGGTTCTGAAGAATCATTTCACGCACAAAGGCTGAAGAACACAAGCCCTATGGGAACATTGCTTGGAAAAGGGCATGTTAGAATTAAACCAGGATGAAGTCTAATTATTTATGCTCAGGGGGTCATCTGCCTACCTGACAAGGTTTTAATAATGATGTTGTGTGAGAACACTATGATATAAGTACACATTATCATTTTTTTTAACCCTTCTAATGATAACTTGAGACACAAGCTTTTCCCTAGGCCTACCACAAAAATACTTCATCAGTAAAGAGGTCTTTTCTTCCTTTTTCTCTAGGTTGTTTGTGTTCCTCTGTGGATTTTGATGTCCTTCTTGTGCTTGGTTGTACTGTATTACATCGTTTGGTCCGTCTTGTTCTTACGCTCCATGGATGTGATTGCCGAACAAAGGAGAACACATATAACGATGGCCATCAGCTGGATGACAATTGTTGTTCCACTACTTACGTTTGAGGTAGTCATTCCTCACCTTCCTCCCTGTGCTGGTGTTTCTTAGGGATCTGTTGTGATCCAGAAAGTCAGATATTCTGTTTTCTGATGGCAGCCTATAAAAATGGAAAAGTGGTGTTCTTTTCACTGTGGACTTATGAGAACAAGAGGGATATGTTTCTGTGGAAAATGCTAGCGTTTAAAACTTAAAATTTGGCAACTTCCACTGAAGTCCTCTCATTGCCAAACCATGGTACGGAAGGTGACTCTGCCATCTCAGAGGCTAGGTCAGTGTAAGCTCTGTCAACTTCTGCTGATGTAGAAAGGCTTTAAGTACTGGCCCAACTCCACTTTGTAGGTCTGTTATCTGAGGACCAACCTAGCTGAGTTCAGAAAGCCCCATCACCAAATGGTTGGCCAACAGGTGATGAATGGTTTTGGGCCATAGCAACTCATGGCAACATACTAAGTTATGGAGACTTTGGATCTGCATCAGTGTCCGTGATCATCAATTGAACGTGTGCATTGATGAAGTCACAGATTTTTGAAATACAAAAATAACTCTGACAAACAGTATTTTTAGCTTTGTGTAGGCAGCCGAGAGGTAGATAGAGAAATGAAAAAGGGTGGTTTTTCTTAAAGGTAGACAGGGTTCCGATTGTCCCCTTCCCCACCACCACTGTTAATAATGCTAGACTTGACATTGCTTAACAGATCTCTTGCTTCTGACTTCTTCTGCCTTCTTTCAATGTTTCTGAACAGATTATGTTGAAAACTTTCTCTTTTAGATTCTGCTAGTTCACAAACTGGATGGCCATAATGCATTCTCATGTGTGCCTATATTTGTTCCACTTTGGCTTTCCTTAATAACTCTAATGGCAACGACATTTGGACAGAAAGGAGGCAATCACTGTAAGTCAATATCTTGGAAATATCTTGGGTTTTAAATTTCAATCGGCTGTTTAAATGACAACTTTAACTGTGCCATTTAAAAACGTGAGAGGCGACATGGCATAGTGGAGAGAGAGTCAGCCTTGGAGCCAAGAATACCTGGGTTCAAGTCCTGCCTTTAATACATACTGGCTGAGTGACATAGAACAGGGCCAGAGGTGTCAAACACGTGACCCACAACACTCCTAAGGGTGGCAGTGGAACCAGTTCAAAATGTCATTAGAAAATATTGAATGAAATAAGTAAAAATATAACATAACATCTTCAGGAATCCTTATGTGGGGATTAGTGTCATCGTCATTCCTCAGCCCGCCCGCCCCCCCACCCACCCACCCACCTCTGGCCTCTATTTGAGTTTGACACCGCTGAGCTAGGTAACTCTATTAAGATTACAAGTTGCATAGAAGGTGCCAATCTGCATTGGTGGAGTAAATAGCCTCATCTGAAAGGTTCTTCTACCAATGAAATCACAAATCTTGTCTCTGTCCCTGTTTAAAAGGGCTATAACCTTGTGAGGGGAAAAAAATGGGAATTTCAAATATGAAGGACGAAGCAAGTTCTCATTGGTGGTTAGGAATTAGCAGGATTTTTTGTTAAGTCAAGGAACTTTAAAAAAAAACCCAAAACTTTTAGCTTCCATTTTTGCATGTCCTTCTGGAAATTGCACATGGCTGAGATCTATCTAGGGGGTGATGTATACAGTCCCATATCCCAGGAAGCACCACTTTCTGAGCCACCCAGGCAGGAGCCAAGGATAAGCTGACAAGGAATCACTCTTCCTCAGTTTCCAGAGCCTCCGAATAGTAGCTCTGGATCTTTTCTTTTAAAATAGGTTTAAAGTTGTGTATTTAGGGCACAGGTTCTTACCCTGTGGTCCATGAACTGGGTTATTTTATCCTAAATGTTTTGATAACTACATTTCAATATAATTACTTTACGTTGTAATGCTATGTGTTTTATTTTTTGCATTTCGATATAATTACTTTACGTTGTAATGCTACGTGTTTTATTTTTTGCATTTAAAAATGTGATTACAAGAAGGGGTCTGTAGGCTTCATCAGACTTCCTGAGGAGTCTCATAACACCAAAAAGGCTTAGTCCCTGATAGACAGGAAGAGTTTTTCATTTTCTATCTTAGATATTTAAATGCCTTGTGTGGTCAGGTGTGAAATAAGACATGTTACAGTAATGCTTGTGTGACTTGGGAATTTGACAGATGAGGAAACCCTCAAAGTGGCAAGTGGCATGCTCTCCATCCATCTCAGCCACTTTGCAAGGTGTTTCTGCTTAATTTTTCAGGGACTGTACTCTGGGGTGGCTTTATTGGAGGGACTGGGTGGTACCTATTGTGTCACAACTAACTGTGTCAGTGGAAAAAGTGTATTTAAAAAATTCAGTTGGGAGAAACCCTTTGATTCATTTGAAACATACATCTTATCCTCACTTTAAAGGAATAAAGAGTTAAGTAGAAGGATGTGTAGAAAGAAGACATTTCAACATGTCTTGAGACCAAATGAATCTTTTATTTATCCTTGTGTTCGTCTTTCTAATTTTCCATTAGAAAATCCAAAAAATGCATAAATACCTTTTTAGTAGACTGCATCACTATAAACTTATTCAAAAAAAATGAATTTTACTTGACCTAAAACCTAATTTTTTTTTCAATTGAACTCTTCTTTTCAGGGTGGTTCGGAATTCGTAAAGATTTCTGTCAGTTTCTGCTGGAAATTTTCCCTTTTCTAAGAGAATATGGAAATATTTCGTATGATCTGCATCATGAAGACAGTGAGGAAACCGAAGAAACACCAGTCCCGGAACCTCCAAAAATTGCTCCTATGTTCCGAAAGAAGACTCGAGTAGTTATTACACAGAGCCCTGGAAAATATGTCCTCCCACCTCCAAAATTAAATATAGATATGCCAGATTAAGTTGAAATTCAAGGAATTGGATGGACAGTATGTGTGGCATAAAAGATACACAAGACAAATATCTTCTACGTTACTTTGCCTACATTCTAAACTGGAACTGGAAATAGAGTCAAATCTTTTCATCTCATGCTTTGAATAAATATCACAGCCACTAGTGAACCATCAGTATGTAATATATAGATATTGACAGTTATTTTAATATATGTCTGTGTGTGAGAAAGCTTTCAAGATCGACACTTAAAAAGTTTCTATCAGCAAGTTAAATTGATTTCATAAGATTGACCAATGGGGTACTTGCCTAGCTATTTTTTAAATGCTACCATGCCTTTCAAAAGTAGTACTAGTCTCAGTGGTGAAACATAATCTACAACCAGCGTAAATATTTCTCTATTCCACTACTTGTTTCAAAGCATCATATGCATTATTTTTAGTGTTGCTCCTGTTAAGATTTTCTTTGGGCATGCTCATAGCCATCTTTAATGGTCTAACTGGTGAACCTTTCTAATGGAGTGACTCCATGCCTGTATAGTATTTATATGAACGTTTTAGCAATGTGTAATATATTCTATTAAAATTCTAGTTCTGTACAGTATAATTATATTATGTTAAAGTATTTTTAAAAGCCTATATATGAAGACATATGTTCTATTATAGAAGAAGTCCTTTCAAGTCTTTTAAAAATATTAATGTGTGTCTGTTGGGTATGGGAACTTATTAAAAATAGTTGACTTGACCACAGAGACTGCAAATCGTGTTGATTTGAAGTTCTGGTTTTTGTATATTTAGGTCTATACTAATCAGTCAGCGAAGGCAGTTTCAAAGCTTGATATATCACATTATCAGTAACCAGATTTAGGTACCAATTCTACTTGGAAACAGGCAGTTTTAGCTTTCATTTGCATATGGTGTTCCTGTCTTGTTGATGCAATACCAGACCATACAGCTCTTTTATTTATCACTTTCATTCGCCACATCTGCAGCAGGTCTGATCTTAGAACACTGAAAATTAGAAATAAATGGTATGTCCATTTCTAAAAGGCTTGGAATCACAGTTAATGGATACTAGAAAGCATTCATTCTCATTGGAATACTGAGAATTGACGAAGGTGGGAGTTGGGAGGAGTAAACATACATCAGAATTGCTTCTTTTAGGGTCTGAAATGAATTAGTGGTGATAAGTAATGTTATACCAGTTCAGATGCTTTTACGAACGAATTGAAAAGTAATTTGTTAGTATTATCCCAGTGCTGAGGAGGTAAGAAGTCAGATTCCTCCAGCATAACCACCTTTTGACTAAAACTGAGAAGAACCCTTTGATACCTTTCATCAGGACAGATCTGAAGGTGTTTGATTTGACTATATAGGCAACTTTTTTTAATTGTCTAAATTCTGTTTGATGTAAATTATGTAAATAACTAAAACCTTTGCACTGGCCTAGGGACAGATATGTTCTGTTTGGGGGTGGGGTGGGGTGGGTGGGAACATAGATTTTCCAGTTTTGTGTGTAAAAACTTGAGCTAAAATTCACTATTTTTTCCCTCTACATAGCTGTTCAATAAACTGGTTCCTCATTTTTCCTGTGCACATTGTGTAACTTGTTTTGTGTGATGCTCATTAAAAAACATTAGTTTTACCCTCCCAATGTGATGTTGCCATAGTAAACCTGTTCAGTACAAGAGGATAGGGAGGAGCCACTGGGGTGACACTGTCATGTTAGGGGTTATGACTGACCTCGTCTAAGTCAACATCCTCCCTAAGTGTAGTAAGTCTTCAGCTGGCCTCAAATAATTGCATGTCCCTTGCTGCATACAATCCCCCAGACCTGTTTCAGTCCATCTCAGAAGCTGGAGGGTAATCAACAAAGTGGCCACCCTCCCTCACCCTACATCGTATGTTGGAGAACCTGATGTTGGAAGTCAAACAAAGCAGCCCCTTCACTGTAGGTGGTTCACTCAGCTGTTGACCTCAGTCCATCTGGAGATCCCATCCCACTTTGGGAGAGCTCTAATTGTTAGGAAGTTTCTTCCTTACCTGACAGCTGACCTTAAGGTTTATAAAGCACATGTTATCTTATTTGACTTACTAGATCCTCAATGCTGTGAGGTCCATGCTATTATTCTCATTTTACAGATAAGCACACTGAGACTTAGAAAGTTTAAGTGACTTACATCACTCAGGTGGTAGTGTCTGAGGCAAAATCTGAACCCAGATCTGCCTGACTTTGAGGCCAGCATGCTGTCTCATCACTCCACCATTGTCTCATCTAAGGAGCCTAAATCTGCCTCTTCAAAACTTTCAGATAGTGTTCTTAATTTTTCCTTGTGGCGTTAGATAGAACAAGTGTAATTTAAAAACAGAAAAAGGCTTATTGTCAACAAGTGACTGAACTGACTATAGTAAAGTTGCTGCACATGAAAAATGAGGAATTACCAAACTAGCGTAAGCCCCAGAAGGTCCTTGCCCACTGTGAGATTCCGGGGTCAATGAAACTTGGTGCATTTTTATCTAGTGTCAAAGAATTTGTGCGCCTGCTACATGAACACTTCTGATTTCTAGACGTCAGCGAACACTTCTTATACCCTTCAATAAACTTTCAATAATATTGTACAGAGAAAAGTACAGAACTGTCTTAAAACATCCATAGTGATTTGCTAATTCAGTTTGTAACTGTTGGATTTTTGCTGTGGTTGCCCAGGAGTCACTCTCTTTAAGGTACCTCACAACAAAGCAAGTCACAGCAAATAAAATAAGTATACCTTGTCTCCTTCTAGCTATTCCAAACACTACAGGAAGAAATTCACTAAGTGAGAGTTCTCTTAGAAACAGTGGGGTGTCATGGTTAGAGGGCTGCCCTTCTTGAAATCAGTAAAACTTCCATTTCAATCCTGCTTCTGAAACACTATGGCCCCATCCAAATCACTTAAAACTCCCAGTCTCAGGCAACTGAGATTACAAGACAGAAGTGGGTTGCAGTCCATCTGGAGGAGGAACCGTCAAGCCCTTGACATTAATGGGGTAAGTTAGAATTAGTGGTTTTCACAATTCAAAAGGAGAACTATACATTCCCACTAAGTTAACCGGAACAATTAAATACATTTTCTCTAGGAAGTCAAGAGAAAGTCACACCTTTTGTAAGCTCTTAAGTGAAAGTTGTGAGCAGGGCATGGGGGAGAAAAAGTCACAGAAGACCTGAGTTCCAATTCTGACTGAGACACTTCTAGTTGTGTGACCTCCCTGAACGTCGGTTTCCTCAGCTGTAAGAGAGAGGGCTAGATTTGGTGGCTTTTAACGTCCCTTCCAGCTCTAAATCTAGGATTTAGCTGTTCTGTTTTCTTTCATTTGGGCAGTTGAGGAGGTGGAAGAGCTGTTACTTTTTTTAAATATAAATTTATTTAGTTTTAGTTTTCTTTTTTTCAACATTCACTTCCACAAGATTTTGAGTTCCAAATTTTCACCCCATCTCCCCCCTCTCCCCACCCCAAGATGTCATGCATTCTGAATACCCCTTCCCCTAGTCTGCCCTCTCTTCTATCTCTCCCCCTCTTCTCTTATCCCCTTCCCCTTCTACTTTCCTGTAGGTCAGGATAGATTTCTGTACCTCATTTCCTGTATTTCTTATTTCCCAGTTGCATGTGAAAGCATTTTTTTAAAACATGTGTTTTTAAAACTTTCGGCTCCAAGTTTTCTCCCTTCCTCCCTCCCCACCCACCCTCACTGAAAAGGCAAGCAACTCAATAGAGGCTATACATGTGCAGTTATGCAAAAACATTTCCATAGTAGTCATGTTAAAATCCTGGGGTGAGAACCAAGATATGTTACTCTTTGACACCTGTCACAGGATTTAGACAGAAGGATTTTTTTAATTTTAGGCAATCAGGGTTAAGTGACTTACCCAGGGTCACACAGCTAGTACATGTCAAGTGTTTGGTCTGAGGCGGGATTTGAACTCAGGTCCTCCTGACTTCGGGGCTGGTGTTCTATCCACTGCGCCACCTAGCTGCCCCAGAAATAAGGATTTTTGTTGAATGTTGATGGGAAAAATTTGCTGACACCATTCCCCATGGGAATGTGGGCAGTCTACTGAATATGGGAACTTAATACCCTATTTTGTTACTCCTTGGTGCCTTTTTGTTTTCTTTTCAAAACTAATTGATCCATTTTGTTTAGGCCCAGTGGACAGATCCTGTGTGATTTTTAGCAAGCCAAGTAATTGAATGAAGCAAATAACAGTGCAAAGAGTGTTGAATTTGGCTTTAGGGCACCTAGGTCCAAATCCTACCTCTTCCACTTATCTTTGCGACCTTAGGCAAGTCACTCTCTGTCTCTGGGTCTCAAATTTCTTCATGTACAAAGGGAGGCAGTCGGACTGGATGGCATCTAAGCTCCCTTCCAGCTGTACATCTACGGTCCCGTGACTTTTGCCTGACCTTTACTGAATGTGGCTGTTAGTGGGCCAATTTGCAAAGCTTATTGAGTATGTGATTTTTCCCCCCTTTTTCAAGAAGTGTGTGCCCCCAAAATGTGCCCTGTATAACATCTTGGGTCATTTTGTAGAGTCTTTTTGAACATGAAATTCCTTTTGTTGAGTAGTATAAAGACTACTAGCATTAGGAAATAAACTGCTTGAAATGTATAGCTCAGTGAGAAGGCAAAGAGTAAAGTAAGCTTCCCTCCTGTGCTAATCCGGTTGACACAGAGCCAACTCTAGAGATGAGAGCTCAGTAACTATATTAACTATCCATTACAACTCTTGTCCATTAGAATTCTATCTGTTAATTATATGAAATTATGCTTATATAAAAACTTCCGTTTTTCACAGCACCGATGAGGACATTCCAAATGGAACATCAGAGCTGACAGGTGGCTGTGAGGAGTCCTTATCTCAGGAACTTATGTAGCCTAATCATGATTGTGGTGCTTGTGAGGAAACCAAAATTATCCTGTGATGTCACATGAAGTCCCTTCTGTTGAGCAATGTAAAGACTACTAGGTTTAGGGAACAAGATGCTTTGTATATCTATAGCTCAGTGAGAAGGCAGAAGGTCAGTTAGCTTCCCTCCTGCGCTAGTCCCGTTGACTTGGAGCCAACTGGAGATAAGAGCTCAATTACAATGTTACTATCCATTAGAACTCTAGCCATTAATTATATAAAATTACAGTTAGGTTAAAAACTTCCATTTTTTCAAAACACTGATGAGAACATTCTGAATGGAATTTTCAGAGCTGACAGGTGGCTGTGAGCAGTCCTCATCTCAGTAACTTATGTAGCCTAATCATGATTGTGCTGCTTGCTAGGAAACCAAAATCATCCTGTGATGTCACAGACGTGAAACTGGAGCCACCATTATGATGTCCTAGGCTTACTTGAAAGTTTGTTGTAAACTGTATCTTAACCTGCTCACTTGCTTAAAGGCACCAAGACTGAGCAGATATAATGGCTATAACTGAGAAAAACACAGAAGACTGAAAGATTAGAAATGGATTCTGGTAAATCAGAGCCGCAAGAAAATTCTCCTCGAGGTGGACCCACGGATACAGAGCACAGCAATAATTCTACTTTTTATTCTGTACCTCTGGAGAGAGGTGAGACACCAGTTATGGATGCTGACCTGCCGGCTCTGGTTGAAGAAAATGCTTTTCAGGCTTTGATTGGAGGGACTTTGACAAAAAGAGCCCGTTTTACGTTTCCCGATGAAAGTCTGATAATGGAAGAAAATGAATTTTTCTCCCTCACCTTTCCTAGAAAGCTTTGGAAAATAGTTGAAAGTGACCGATTTAAGTCAATTTGGTGGAGTGAAGATGGAACTCACATAGTAATCAACGAGGAGCAGTTTAAAGAAGAGATTTTGGAAAAGAAGAGGCCTATGAGGATATTTGAAACTGATTGTATGAAGAGTTTCATCCGCCAGCTTAATCTCTATGGCTTCAGCAAGATTCGACAAGAGTTGGAAAGATCTGCCTCCCTTGACAGTTTTTTAATGGAAGAAAAAGAAACTTTTCCATCAAGCAAGGTAACTTAAATAATAGCATATGATTGTACAAAACTAAATTTAACTGATTTCAAGAAAGACCTTAGTCTTATCTGCTATGTTTCAAATGTAAAAAGGCAGTTTATTTTTATCAGTAGATAATGGCCCTTTGATATAGGTAAGACAATTCTGATTTAAATATAATAATGATATTAAAGGTGAGTTTCTTTGTTTTGGCTAAACTCCATTGCTTTTGAACTCCTTTGGATTTTGATAAATGCCTTTCTTTTAGTGTTTTAATTAAAATTAGCCCATTAGCATTGGTAGAGTACCTACGTTAGGGGGGTTAATATTAGAGCAAGTTCTTCAGTATAATAAAATGGTACTTTAAATTATGTGAAATGTAGAGTAATATCATATTGAAATAGTATGTAATTAATATTGTAATTAATATGATTAATATAATTATTATAATTAATTAATAAGTATCAGCACTTTTTGGTGGCTGACTGACGAATTAGCAGAGTTTTGTCGTTTTTTCAAGGGTCTCCCAATCATAAATGAATGAATCTTGTGTATTTTTTTAAAGTTTACCATGCCTTTGCAAACACTTGTAAAAAGAAATTTCCACTTAGCATTTTGAGGCTAAATCTGCTAAGTTATGAATCATTTGAGTGTGACGATTCTCTAGTGTGTGAGATGAAGGGGTTGGCCAAAGGTGATCTCTAAGGGTCAGGACTAAGGCTTAACTAGCTCCAAAAATCTATGATTCCAAAGGAAGACAGAGTTGTTGTTGTTGTTGTTGTTGTTTCTAGAAACTTCTGCCTGTTCCTCTCTGATTTTAAGTACATTTTTTTTCTTTTGGTTTTTTAGTTACAGTTGTACTATAATCCCAATTTTAAAAGAGGCTACCCTCACCTGGTCTCAAGATTGAAGAGAAGAGTGGGTGTGAAAAATAAAACTAACCATCTTTTATTGACAAGTCAAAATGTTAGCAACAATTTCTTAAAAGGGGATTACTATCATTTAGAAGACCAGAAATTTGCTTTGACTGGCAGGCCTGCTGAGAAATGTTCTGCTTTTGCTGCTGCTTCCTCTGCTTCTGCTTCTGCTTCGGCTTCTGCCTCTCCCTCTGCCTCTGCCCCTGCCTCTTCTTCTTCTTCTTTTTCTTCTTTCCTGTCTTCTTTTCTCTCTTCTTCTGCTGCTGCTTCTGTTTCTTCTCCTTCTTCTCCTTCTCCTTCTTCTCCTCCTCCTTCTACTTCTTCTTCTTCTTCTTCAACTTCAAGAGAGAAGGGGCCAGAAAGTGTGGAAAGCAGACATTTCAGTGAAAAGAAATCTGCCAGCAGCCCAGTTTGCAGAAGCAGCTTCTCCACTTCCTCACTCTTGGGAGGAACTCCTCATGCTAGACTGAACCAATTCACTCCTTTCCATATGGCTCATCTGGGAGACCATCCTCAATTGAATATGCATGGTACAGACGGAATTGCAGCTACTGCATCTCTCTATCATGCCATCTGGAATGGTTCGTTTAGGTGTGTGGCATACCCAGCAATGTACTCCGAGTTGACAGCCATACAGGCCCACGTGGCCAGCCTTCTGCCTTTTTGTGGCCCATGCTACCCAATGCCTATGGTGGCCACTACCTCTGCTTCCTCAATGGCCATGCCTCCGGAAGATCGACCATCCTCTCAGTATCAGCATTGTCCCAGTTGCAGCTGCACCTCTCCAAACAAGGGGCAGTGTTCCGAAGGGGATCCAAGGGGCGACTGATATCCAGGTTACCACTACTGAAAGCAACCCCACCCCTTTTTTCATTTTCTTTTTAAAGAGGCAAGGCACTAAAAACCAAAGATGATTCAGGTTATTTTATTTGAACAATAAAAGTAATTGCTTCACTCCTGTGTTTTCTCCCTCTTTCCGGTCACCTACAGCATATGTGTGTTGGGAGGTGGGGGTGGGGGAGGGGGTAAAGAATTAGCATTAATAACACCATTCATGCCTAGTACAGTGCTAACCATACATTTGGGACCCTTTGACCTCTTGAGTTTAGTTATTAGAGATCGGGCAGCTTTGACAGTGCCTCATGTAAATAAAAACCAAGCACTGAAGTGTAAGCCACGGCTTAGGAAGAACACGGTGACATTTCTCCTAGTCATTCAGATTTTTATTTATCTCATAGGCAGCATTCTGCCTTATTGTAATAATATTCTCATTTTACAGATCGGAAGATTAAAAGCCCTTGAGATTTGTTTCAGTCTTGTCATTCTGTGAGGTTTTCTGTGGCACACAGAATTTGAGACAACTTGCTACTCGTCCATTTTGTTCAGTTGTTTCTGGGTTTAGGATAGTTTTGTTAGTTCCAAGATTCAGCTCTGTCAAGTGAACCATTTTATTTATTTATGCTGACCTTTTCTTCTAATAGAGTCACATGGGCTATTTGACTTGTGTGTGTTGTAATAGATGAAATCTGTTTAGAGAGGGTGATTCATGTCAAATGCCATTATGAATAAGCTTACCAGTTCATGGCAGGTGTTTGTGGATAGAGGTAAAAGCCCTTCCACATCACACTGCGAAAAAAAAGAAACTTTTTTTTTTAAAAAAAAAACCCCAAACAAACCCAAATCCAGAAAGGCCCACTGGCCTCGTTTTATTTTTAAAAGGCTCCCTGTTAGAACAGGGCCTGAAGACATATTTGAAAAAGCAAAGAAGTATAAAATCCAAAGTCAAGCCACAATCTATAGCTTAGCTTTGCAGCCCATTCTCCATCTATGACATGAGGATAATTTACTTTTCTAGTATTCATGGCTCCTTGAGCTCATCATCCTGAATAATAAGGATTCTTAAAAGACCAAAGTAATATTTTATATTGTGTTTCCAGGTGCCCTGCAATCTTTAATTGAATCAATGAACGCAAAATAAATAATTTTATTAGTATGCTCTTTAAGCGCTTTTCAGATTAGAACTCTTTGGAACATCAGTGTACCTTACTTAAAGCAAACCAGTAGTATATGAAACTCTGAATTCGCAAGATATAAATTGGAGTGATTATTTGCTTGGAAAGATTTTTAAAGGGACTATGCAATGAAAGAGAATTATAAGAATTATGACTCAAATGACTGTGGAAAAAGAAGAAGGCCCCTAGAATGTGGAAAGTTTTTCTCTCTGGGTTTTCAGTTCTGGCAACAGGTTGGCAAGATCATGAAAGGTAGCTTTGAGCTCGCTGCCTGTGACTGAATGGAAAAATCACTTCTGCTCTGTTAGTGATTCTCTTTGGGAAGCCTTGAACCCTTTCTCTCTGCCCCCATAGAGTGAATTCCAGTTGGGAGCAAAACTACATGTACTGATGAATGTTAGGTGGGGATACAATGAGTGCAAGCATCAGTAGACATTATTTGAGAACATTATTAATACCTTTGATTTCATCTTATACAATGATGAGTTTCTGGAAATCCTGAAGTCCAAGAGAGCAGGTGGGTGGGAAATGACGAGGTCACAAGCCCTGGATGTCCTCCTCAAATAGAGGATCCCCCACCCCCACCCCAAGCCTCTGATTTTTTCCAGATGTTCTCAGACATCTGTTTAATGAGCAGATATCTGCATAGCCTCAGGACAACATTATTTGTATGTTGTCATAGCTCTGAATCTGGATTTGGAGGGGAGTTAGTTATCCAAACATTCCCAATTACTCTGTAACATAATTTAGTGAAATCACTGGACAGAAACAGTCTCTGAACAGCAGGGCATTTAAGAAAGAATATGAAAAAAGGGACCCTGGAGTAAAGACAGGCCGATTCCTTACCAGTCCAGGACCAAGTTCCCTCCTCCGGATGAGGGTGGAGGGTGGCAACCACAGCACACACCAGTGGTATTACGCATAATGGTGATCCCGAATTGTTGGGGAATGGTCGGCCAAGTGAAATTTTCTAGCATAAAAACAACATATACACAGACTACAATTGTGAAAACAAAAAACTCTACTCGGACAATTCGGATTAACTGTAATGATCAAACGTGGTCCCAGAGAACAGGTTATGAGACGCCCCAACCCTTCTAGTCCTGTCTAGGCCCGGGGTGAGCCTGTCCCTTGGATTGGCCTGACTCTCTCTGGTAACATTTAATAAGAGTTCCCGGTGGGAGACGAGGAATATGCTGGGAAGTGACTGGTATTTTTAAAAAGGCATTTTAAAACTGCAATGAAAAATATTTTTAAAAGCGCATTTTCTAGGACAACCAACCGAAGCTTCTCTCTTTAAGCGCTCCAACATTTTTTCAATTTGCCATGTGATGTCCATCGTATGAAAATGTACTGCGTATATAGCCCCTGCTTCCCTTCTTGTTTTTTGAAGAATGTTGTCCCTTTTCAAAAAGTAGGCGTTTCCACTGAACGCGCGTCCTCCCCCAGTGCCTCACCGCAATCCTCTACTTGGGAATCGGGCCAGCGTCCCCGAAGCCCCTACCTCTCCCTCCCACGGGAGGAAGAAGGTGTGTTTCCTCTGCTTCGTTGTCATTGTTTCCGACTTTCTTAGCCGGAGGCGGGGGGCAGGGACCAGCAGCAGCCCCTCCCTCCGCCCTGACCCCACTTGGCAGAGGAACTGTGCCCTGCGTACTCAAAGCCCTTGACCCCAAGGCGGCAAACCAGGTCCCGAAACCGTTCGCCGACGGTGGTGCTGTGGATCGACCCGAGTTCAAATCCTACTTTAGATAGTTGTACATCGTCTTCCTCAGTTTCCTCAACTGTTGTCATTTTCCAGCCACATCCGACTCTTCGTGACCCTATTTGGGGTTTTCTTGGCAAAGCCGCTGGAGCGGTTTGTCATTTCCTTCTCGAGTTCATTTTTACAGATGAGGAAACTGAGACAAACAAGGCGAAGCGACTTGCCCAGGGTCACATAGTGTGTCCGAGGCCGAATTTGAACTCAGGTCTTTCTACTTCAGGGCCACCCCACCCCCACCCCCCGCTGCGTCCTACACTCTATCCACTGTGCCAGCTAGCTGCCCCACAGCTTCCTCAACTGTAAAATAAGGATAATATTAGTGCCCATCCCTTGGGGTTGATGTGAGGATCTAATGAAATAGTAGTTGTAAAGCATTTAGCACAGTGCCTGGCACATAGTAGGTGCTTAATAAATGCTTATTCGCGGGGCGGCTAGATGGCGCAGTGGGGGGCAGCTAGGTGGCAGTGGATAGAGCTCCAGCCATGGAGTCAGCAGGTCCTGAGTTCAAATATGGCCTCAGACACATGACACTCACTAGCTGTGTGACCCTGGGCAAAGTCATTTAACCCCGATTGCCTTGAAACCACCCCCCCCCAAAACGAAAATAAATGCTTATTCTCCACCCCCACTTGAAATACAAACTTTCTTTTAAAAACAAAAAACAAACTTTTTTTAATCATTTGGAGACGCCTTTTGGTTTTTGTAACCACAGCGGCTATGAGAGCAACAACCCCCCACCCCCCAGGTTAATAGAACCTTCAATTGTAAGAAAGAGCAACAGTCAGGAGAAAAAACAAATGGGCAACCGCGGGTCCAGAACAGGTAAGAGACTTCGCTTCGGAGTGTCAAGGTTCTAAAACGTTGAGGCTCTGAGCTGTTGTGCTGAGTTTTTTTTTTTTTTTGAAGGGGGGGTGGGGGGAATCCGGCTTTGATTTTATGTCATTTTCTTTTTTTTTTTTTTAGGGCAATTAGGGTTAAGTGACTTGCCCAGGGTCACACAGCTAGTAAGTGTCAAGTGTTTGGTCTGAGGCGGGATTTGAACTCAGGTCCTCCCGACTTCAGGGCAGGTGCTCTATCCACTGTGCCACCTAGCTGCCCCAATTTTATGTCATTTTCAATGTTGTTACCTGCCTTAGCCCTCCCCTCTATATTGGATAAAATTACTAAAATTAGATTTGAATGTGTTTTCTGGGAATCACCACAGGATCTTGATGGAAGATTTGGAGGAGGATTTTTTTTTTTACCCTTTTTAAGACTAGGACTTTGGGATCCTTAAATATCAGGAAATGGTCATAATTTAAGGAAAGCAAAGCAGTAATAAAAATAGACTGATCAGTGACGTGCTGCTGTGGTCTTTTAGGATTGGACACTAAGGTCATCAATTTTCAATGGATAAGATTGATAAATACTAGCAATTTTTTAAGTAACGTTAATTAGTAGCAGACATTTTCCTCCTGAAAGCCAAATTTGGGGTCTTTCCTAGGTATTTAATTTAACTAATGACTAATTTCAGGGCTGTAAAATCAACATAATCCAAAATGGAACTTTGGAATCCCATTGCCCTAGGCACCAAGAAAAGAAATACAAACTGATGTAGACCCATCTGCCCACTGCTTTTCCTCCCCTTTTTTCTAAAGTTTTATTCATGCATTTGTTGACCTACCCCTACCCACCATGAGCTACTGTGGCTAGCTAACAGAAAAGCCCCACCGTACTAAACGCCCCAGGACCTAACAGCATGTGCAACATTAGGGCCCCCACAGCCCCCTCCCCCCCTCCTCTCCAGGGTGCTGCCTCATCCCTTTTCCCCAGGGCAATCGGTGATGACATTTGCACAGCGTTGGATTAATAGACTGTCCCTTCCTTTGACCAACTAGATAAATACTTATATTAGGGAGAGGGTTAAATATCCTGGCTAGAACAATAAACAACAAAAATGGACGCTTCTACCCTGACTTCCATGTTTTGCTACAGACTCCCACCATTAAACTCACAGCATGTATGATCTGGATAGGATTGTGCTTTTCCAATGGAGTGGTTACTTGCTCTTGAGAAGTCCTCACATCCAGGCACCCTCAATCATCCTAGTCCTCTTTTCTCTGCCCCCCCTTCCCCCCC